TCATGGATAAATTTAAAATTCTAGTTAGGACAAATTAGAGTCTTACCCCTTGTTTAGACAAAATATAATTACTAAAAATAACCCAAAATAAATTGGGAACCCCAATTTGTAGGATGAGGATTACTTTCCAAATCTTCTATCCATTGCATAATGAGTAACGTTATTGAGACCTAAAAAATTGATCTTATTTATTGACATAATAACTTATCAAGTGATAAAATCTCAAAGAAGAAGTCCAAGAATTATAATCACAACAATACTATTAGATCACCTCATTGTCATATAATTAGATTAGCAAATTAGGTCTATTTTTTAGGTCCCCATAGAATTACTCTTGCACAATAGACATCATCTTCATTTATTTGAATTCTAAGAATCTAGCCCATTAGGAAGGAATACCGTCGCAGGTTAAAGCAGCTAGATCTGGAGAGTCTACAAAATGCATAGAAGCCAATAAACTTTACAATCTGGTGCCAAATTACTCTTCCCAAAATTTTTGCCACTACAATCATTGTAGACATCCTGTCTAAAACAGATACAAAAAGTCTTGCAAACCAAGCTCCTCTCTTAGCTCCCCAAAAATCCGAGATTATTCATGCATATGATCCAATCAAATTCTTGCATTCCACCGAATCGTTACACACATTTAATTACCTGTAATATATTTGATTTGTTATTGATATAAACATGAATAGAGAATTTTCCCAGTAAAATAAATCTAAGAATGTCAAGTCAATCAATATTAGACAACATTACAATTAAAGGGTATGCTACAAGTTTAAATAAGCATGAATACAAAATCTACACAATAAAATTAATCTAAAAATATCAAGTGAATTAAAATTAGAAATACCCATTGACGATGATAGCCTTGTGGTCATTTGACACCATAAAATCGATAACAATACCAGTACACCACCAACATTACATTCACCAATACCAACTTCAAACTCATGGTGAAGCTTGTATCTTCCTTCACAAAGCAAACACCACCCATACAAACATACACTTTGTAAGGGGTAGAACCCTCTACTAAGGATTTCGGCTTGACCTGGGTTAACCCACGCGGGCGACCCCCTAGTAACCTTTACTTTTCAGTGCCCCCAAGAGCTTCATCCCACATCGACTGAGAATCGTCTCCCTCCTTCACATATAAGCCCTTGCACTCAAAAGAGAAGATACTCACTAGGCACCTGATCAGGTCGCTAGTGGGTACGTCCTCCTTTGAGTGCAAGGGCTTATATGGAGATACTCACTAGGCACCTGATTAGGTCGCTAGTGGATACCTCTTTCTTTGAGTGCAAGAGCTTATATGCGAGAGGGGAGACGACTCTTAGTCGATGTGGGACGAAGCTCCTGGGGGCATTGATCTGTAAGGGGTAGAACCCTCTATTAAGGACTCCTGGGAGCACTTATCTGTAAGAGGTAGAACCCTTTACTAAGGATTTTGCCTTGACCTGGGTTAACCCACGCGGGCGACCCTCCAGTAGCCTTTATCTCTCAGTGCCCCAGGAGTTTCGTCCCACATCGACTGAGAGTTGTCTCCCCCCTCACATATAAGCCCTTGCACTCAAATGAGGAGGTACCCATTAGCGACCTGATCCTCGCTAGTAGGTACCTCATCTTTTGAGTGCAAGGACTTATATGTGAAGGAGGGGGCTTATAGGCGAGGGGAGAAACGACTCTCAGTCGATGTGGGACAAAACTCTTGGGGCCACTGAGAGGTAAAGACTATTGAGGGGTCGCCCGCGTGGATTAATCCAGATCAAGCCGAAATCTTTAGTAGAGGGTTTTACCCTTTACACACCTATTTATTATTGTGAGAATTTACGTCGAACAGTTGGGTGCCATTATATTTTTCCAAGTGGTAGAAAGGGATTCGAAATAGTGTTTCTTACTAACAAAACATAGAAAAAATGGGCACTTGAACTTTTTTAATCAATGGAGCAATTTAACAAACATGTGGAGGCACCTATATAACACGGAAGCACACCAAGATGTTGGAGGCATATAGAGAAAAAGAGCTGGTAGTCCACCGAAGAGAGTCAGAGATGAGGGAATTAAAGCAGCAAGCTTTTAGTTCACGCTCTCAATGAGTTTTTTTTTTATCTCACACGTACTCACTTCGTGGACGCTAAATTTAACCGTGGTTGGCGTGGTGGCTAGGGTCGCAGAGGGTAGTGGTGGCTTAGAGGGTGGAGGGCTTCGAAAACGATGACTCAAGGGTGGACCAGAGAGGGGTAGAGGGGGAGTTACGGGGCTGTGGATGGACTGGATTGGGGATGTGTGAATTTGTGTGAGTTGTAGGGGTCTAGAGGGGTTAATAGTAGAAACTGGTGGTTGTGGTGAAGGAGATTTTCTAAAGAGAGAGGTAGAGAAAGGAAAGGGGGGAAAGTGAGAGATAGAAATCATACTTGCCAGTCTGGCGACGTTCTGGTGGCGTTCGATTTGCTTCACATCGACAATTGGCTCTTACCGTTTGTTGGGCTGTGGCGCCACTGGCAGGGGACACAAAGAGAAAAAAGTGGGTGTGGTTGTGATTGTGTTGGGCAGCGGTGACAATTTAAGGAATGACTAGATATGTAGGAAGAGATAGGATAGAGTTGAGTGGACATAGTGGTTGAATACGAAGGTCAGAGGTGTAGAAGTCTGGAAAGAGAGAAAGAAAGGCATGAATTAGGGGTAGTAGTTTGGAGAGAGAGAGAGGGAAGGATGTAATTTTGGAAGAAAAAGAAATTTGATGCTTGAAATTGGGAATTAGAGGTCTGAAGTTTGGGAAGCATAAACGGAAGGTGCGTTGGGCTGGAAAATAAAATTTGTTGGTCAATCTGATCCTTAAGATCAATATATGTTAGTTGATCTAAGCGGTAAAAATGTTAAAGATAACATGGACTATTGGATATAATTTATCGTTTACCCAAAATTAATCTGAATCACAAAAAACTCAAGATAAATATTGGGATTTAAATTCAGTTCTATTTTATTATATAAATATTTTTATTAAATAAATACTATTTGAATGCTCAAATAAAAAAATATTAAAATAAAAAATACTTTATCAAAAAGTGCGTGGTGGAGGCGATGACGACGATGATGATGAAGTGTTTTCNGGTAATCATCAAAGAAAATTCTATATAATCTAATTAACACTCAAATGCATATTATTTATTAGATAAGTGCAAAATGAGTGGACGCCACAAAAAAAATTAATGAGACATATTCATCTAACGAATGATATGTATTTACATTACAACTTTTTTAATTTTATTTATATTTTATAGCATTACTCAATCATTAAATAATAAACCACCGCATATAAAAGTGAGTCTCACAAAATTTGATAATTACACGATTCATATAAGATAATAACCAACTCATGTAAACACTAAGGGGTATCTCAAGTAGCAGTAGGTATAAACTATAAACTTATACGTTTTGAATTTGAATATTAACAAACTATTGAGATTAAGTCATAAGACAATTATCTCTCATGAATAAGCATGATAATTCTAGATACGACTCATGAAATCGACACGGATTTAGCGGTTTTGGTGTAGTCTTAACGGGTTCAGATAATTAACGGGTTAACTCGGCAGACCCATGAAATAAATGAACCAGTTTCGTGTTTAACTCATAAACTTGTTTCAACCCGTTTCACCCGTTAACAATTATGCTATAATTTATTTTTTTTAAAGTTAGGTCTTTCAACCTTTGTCTTATCTCACACCTCTCATTTCTTATACTCATTCAAATTTAGAAATCATTTAATGTTTATTTTTTGTCTTTATTTTTTTGCTCAGTCATAATTTATTATTATAGTAAACAAGTCAAACATGTGTAATGTGTAGCAAGTTGATGATTTTTCGTGTATATTTGAAATACTCTAACCTATTCTTTTATTTAACAGGTGACACACTGGTTATATCAGGTAATCCGTCTGATAAATAATTCGTGTATGGTGTGTGATAGTTGAATTCGTTTATATAAACGAATGGAGAATAGATAAAGAGTTTTTTGACACAAACCCGTTTCACCCGACACGAAAGCGTTCCACTTGACACGATTGTCAGACCTACTTGTGAATATCTTAGTCATAGCGTAGATGATATTTCTTTAACCAAATTAGAAAGAGAATTAATCAAAGTGCACGTAAATTAACTCGAACATCTTTAAAGGTTAAACAAAAAATAATACCTATCATCTAAAAAAATAGAAACTATTTACCAACCATTACATCGAATATTTACTCGTTTTCGGTATTTACTATTTAGCATACCACTCTTGCCATCTATGTTTGGATAGCAATGTAGTTGTACTGAATGGGCTCTAAATTCTAAATTTTTTATTTTTTTTTAAATTTTAAAAGCTTTCATGACATCTTGGCATCGGTTCTCACATGAGTTCTAAGCTTACATGTAATTGTCACAAATGAGTTCTAAACTCTATTATTATCGATTTTTGATTTTTTTAATTTTTAAAAGCTTACATGGCTTCTCATCATTAGTCCTTATTAACTTCTTATTATCTGAAACTATATTAGAATATCTCTGATCTTAACTTAAATTTTTTACTCAAATTTGAGTAAAAAATTTGATTTAATATAAAACACTTCAAAGAAGAAACTCAAATTCATAAAAGAGCAAATTCAAATTTTTAGTAGGATAAAAAATGACCATGGATGGAGTTACACAGGGGCAAGAATGAGTACGTGCTCAACATCAATTTTTTTTAAAAAAATATTATATATACACATATATTTATATATTTTAAAATTTATACACATATTTTTTATTTGTGCTCACATTAAAATTTTCATATTTCAATTATTTAGTCTTTTTTATTGTATTAAGGATTTTTCTAAATGATTTTAATTTTATTATTTATGAATTCCTACGTGGCTTCGTTTTGGCTGTGAGCCACGATTACATTCTAATGCTCAAAGATCGAGGGTTTCTCTACGTGAGTGAGCTCGATATTGGGTTAAAATTCCGGTTTGGTTCATGGCTTTGTTAAAGTGCAAGGCCGGCTCGCCAGCGGCATGGCGGGAGGTGGTTTTGAAGGCGTCTAAGTTGAGGGCTGAAGTGGCGGTTAAGATGGGAATTGTTGACTCGGCACATGATAGCGCGGCGGAGACGGTGGTGGCAGCGGTGAAGTTGGGGGAGGAGCTGGTGTTGAGGAAGTGGGATGGACACGTAGTACAGTGAGAATAGGAAGACTATGCTTGCTGACGTGTTGGCTGAGCTTGGGTTTGATGAGACTGTAGAGGATGGTGACAATGAGACTCTTCCTCCTCCTACTACTACTACCAAGCATGTCTCAAGACTTTGAACACAAAGAGCATAATGTTGTTGATCAGCCTAAATAATTACTGAAGTATAATGTATTTTCTTGTAGCTTCTTTATCAATCTTTTAGATGATAAAGGGGGTCGAAAAAGTTCTAGTGTGTAATTTGAGCAAGTCACTTTGAATTTAATATCGTCACGACTCGAAAGAATCAATATATTTGTAATGTTGTATGATTGTATCGGACCCATCGTATTATTGTATTGATTTTTCAAGGAATGCACTCGCTGTAATAGATCAGTTTAAGGATGCATAATGCTTGAAACCAACATCTTTTTGTCAAGGATGTTTCTTGCTCTTCGCACACAACACACTGTGAACTACACAAAATTGACATCCACTGCATAATAAACATATTTTACCTTCCCCAAATTAGAAGCCCAAGTTTCAGTTCATTTTCTCCCAGATCGGATGCTTCTTGTCCACTGCGTAATACGCATCATTGTTTGGCAGGGTCCGAGCGAAACTACTGGATATTACCAATCGCAAGTCACATTTTTTAGAGTCTCTTGCATAGTAATTTGTAATTTTTTTAATTCCTCTATAATTTGCTATATAAATTTTAGAAAATGCAACTTCAATTCATGTCTCTGTAGATAGATAATTACTTACTGTAATTCCTAGCCATGAATACAATACTCATGCTTATATTGTTTTTCTCTTTGGTTTCAGGCAATGCAGAACGAGCTATTTCTTTTGGACGACGCTATTAAGAGGAAGGGGTTCTTTTGCCAAGCACATATGAATATTTTGTTATAAGGAGAATGAAAAATTTTGCTAAGTCAATTTGCATACGGGCTGCATTACTGCTGGGATTGTTCTTATTGTTCATATGTTATCATAGACTAATGTTAGATGGACTTAAAAATTAGATTCGATAATCTTAACCATTGAATAGGTAATGAGTCTCAATAAATGCTGGCATCTACAATGAAATCAATGGTTGTAATTTTCAAATCTATTTTTTAAGTCCATGTAACATTGTCCTTTATCATGGGGATAGAGCAATACTGAAATTCATGAGACTAATGCTCCGTTTGGTATGATGAAAAAATATAAGGATGAAAAGTTTGAAAGATGTAAAGTTGGAGGAGTAAATAAAACATCATGTTTGGTAAGGAAGGAAAATAGGAAGGATGGAAAAGTGGATGGATTAACTTTCTTTCCAACTCACCAAAATCAGAAGGAAAGTGGATGAAAGTTAATTATTTGTGTTGAGATGTATCTTATTTGTCTATATATTATGTATACATTAATTTAATATAAAAATACAATGATAATATATATATTTAAAAAAATTAAAAATTAAAATTAAAAAAAATATTTTTTTCATCTTAAGTAAGTGTGAAAATTTTCGACTCAACACGATGACACGACTCGAACTCGACTACGAATTTTATGACACGAACTTGATTATAACTCGACACAAACTTGAAAATGACCTGACATGAGAACAAGAAATATAAAGGCTCATAATTTTATGACTCAACACGAATCTGACACGACACGACTCGATTGTTACCTCTAATATTAGACAAAAAAAATTGAAAAAAAAATGATTATTTTTATTTTCCATTCATCCAATCAAACACAAAGGAATGATAGTATATTATTTCTACTTTTCATCTTTAAAGGATAAAAAATGTATTTCTCTTACTTTTCATTCTTCCTACTAAACAGAACATAAAAAAAGTATTCAGGATGGATGGTCAGTAGTGCATTCTTGGTCATCTATTGAGAGTTGTGGATTGATTTTTAACATTGTGGTATTACCTTGCAAAATTTTCTTTGGTTAGTAGTATTATGGATGATTTTCTAACATAGAAGTAGAATCGTAGGCAGTTTTGGATTTTGAATCCAACCCCAAGGTCCTGGTAGACATGATTTGTTTTATAAGAAATTAAGTGTAACTCTTACTTGAAGGCACGGTATAATATGAATGATTTTGAGAGAGATATTAGTGACCATTAAATGAATTTATTTGAGATTATTTGATGAACTTATTGCAGTCTGACATATAGAAATTGTACAAGAAAAACTGAATTGGGTTTTTATTGTTATAATACCGGAGACTATCGACATTTTGGATAAGCTATTAAGCTTTTGAGACTTCTACTGGGAACGGACTTCAAGAATTCACAAATTTGTTGGGAATTCTGTAGAATATATAGCAAAGAAAGGAGTGGATGAGCATCTACAACTAAATTTCATCTTTTTCAAGCTTACGACTTAAGGGTTCGAATGCTTATCTCATAGGGTCGGCTACAAATTGCAAACTTGTGGAAGAGATCATTGTATAGATTCTGGTCTTCTTTTGCTATATTTTTTCATAGATCTTCAGCTACAGATTGTAAACAAAGCTTGTCTTCGTAGATCTTCATCTACGTATTATACAAAATACATTCTTTGTCCATTTTTTATTTTTAATTTTTTTTCCTTTTTACCGGTGTTTATTGTATATGTCGATATGCTCACAGTCCAGCCACCGGAATTTGACAACCAAGCCGACGCTTAGCTTAGGCCGAAAGAAGTGTCGATTTTCTACAACGTCGATTTAGACGGCGGTTGATTGAAATGCCGGATACACACCAAAAAATGACTTTTACCTGCAATTTTTATGTTTTTACCAGCATTTGTCAAACATTGAAAATTCTTCTATTTGTGGTAGTGGGGTAACACTAGTGTACATTATTTCACTTTTTCGATATCATATTAAAAAAAAAATTAAAAAAATGATAAATTTTATCTAAAAAAGAGATAAACTTCACCCAAAAATGGTAAGTTAAATGCAAAGGTAAGTACACTCCAAAAGTTAATAGTATAAATATAAAATAAAGTCTTCACCGGTACAAGATTAATTTTTTAGTATTGGAATGACTTAAAAAATTTAAAAAGTACTTCTTAAATAAATATTTCTCATAAGTGTTTTATAAAAAAAAATTTAGTTATTGCCTGTATTTAAAGGCATTATGTAAAAATTTGGACCCATAATTTTTTTTTAAAATTGTGACAAAATTTTCCTCTAAAACAAAACCACAAAAAATACCAACATATGTACACAATTATTGAAAATTTTGATGAGATAATAAAAGACAGGGCTTTGTAGGAACCTGTTACAAAATGGAAACTAAGGCTTCAATGTAGAATTGGATTGGCCAAGTCGTGTCATTGGTTGAGTTATATTTGACTTATAAAATTCAAATCTAATACACTTTCATATTTTTATTCAAAATTAAAAATCTATTATAACTTAAACTTGACCAAGCCATTCGAGACGTCCCAAAGTCATTCTCGAGTAATTGACACTGCATGTAATATTAAAAAACAAAATCGCCAAGAAAATAGGAGAATTTCATCAAAAAAAAAGTTAAAACAATCATAATTAGTTTTAACACCGGCCATCACTCCACTAAAGTTATTCGTCTATAGTTTTAGGACTATGCATCATAAACAACCAAATGCATTTGAATTTCTTCCATGATGAAGCACATCCAAATCTATCTAGAGCTATCCATGCGTTAGAACAAAAACGACGTATTCATGGATAAATTTAAAATTCTAGTTAGGACAAATTAGAGTCTTACCCCTTGTTTAGACAAAATATAATTACTAAAAATAACCCAAAATAAATTGGGAACCCCAATTTGTAGGATGAGGATTACTTTCCAAATCTTCTATCCATTGCATAATGAGTAACGTTATTGAGACCTAAAAAATTGATCTTATTTATTGACATAATAACTTATCAAGTGATAAAATCTCAAAGAAGAAGTCCAAGAATTGTAATCACAACAATATTATTAGATCACCTCATTGTCATATAATTAGATTAGCAAATTAGGTCCCCATAGAATTACTCTTGCACAATAGACATCATCTTCATTTATTTGAATTCTAAGAATCTAGCCCATTAGGAAGGAATACCGTCGCAGGTTAAAGCAGCTAGATCTGGAGAGTCTACAAAATGCATAGAAGCCAATAAACTTTACAATCTGGTGCCAAATTACTCTTCCCAAAATTTTTGCCACTACAATCATTGTAGACATCCTGTCTAAAACAGATACAAAAAGTCTTGCAAACCAAGCTCCTCTCTTAGCTCCCCAAAAATTGAGATTATTCATGCATATGATCCAATCATATTCTTGCATTCCACCAAATCGTTACACACATTTAATTACCTGTAATATATTTGATTTGTTATTGATATAAACATGAATAAAAAATTTTTCCAGTAAAATAAATCTAAGAATGTCAAGTCAATCAATATTAGACAACATTACAATTAAAGGGTATGCTACAAGTTTAAATAAGCATGAATACAAAATCTACACAATAAAATTAATCTAAAAATATCAAGTGAATTAAAATTAGAAATACCCATTGACGATGATAGCCTTGTGGTCATTTGACACCATAAAATCGATAACAATACCAGTACACCACCAACATTACATTCACCAATACCAACTTCAAACTCATGGTGAAACTTGTATCTTCCTTCACAAAGCAAACACCACCGATACAAACATACACCTTGTAAGGGGTAGAACCCTCTACTAAGAATTTCGGCTTGACCTGGGCTAACCCACGCGGGCGACCCCCTAGTAACCTTTACTTTTCAATGCCCCCAAGAGCTTCATCTCACATCGACTGAGAATCGTCTCCCCCCTCACATATAAGCCCTTGCACTCAAAGGAGGAGATACTCACTAGGCACCTGATCAGGTCGCTAGTGGATACCTCCTCCTTTGAGTGCAAGGGCTTATATGGAGATACTCACTAGGCACCTGATCAGGTCGCTAGTGGGTACCTCCTCTTTTGAGTGCAAGGGCTTATATGCGAGGGGGGAGACGACTCTTAGTCGATGTGGGACGAAGCTCCTGGGGGCATTGATCTGTAAGGGGTAGAACCCTCTATTAAGGACTCCTGGGAGCACTTATCTGTAAGGGGTAGAACTCTTTACTAAGGATTTTGCTTTGACCTGGGTTAACCCACGCGGGCGACCCTCCAGTAGCCTTTATCTCTCAGTGTCCCAAGTGTTTCGTCCCACATCGACTGAGAGTTGTCTCCCCCCTCGCATATAAGCACTTGCACTCAAAGGAGGAGGTACCCATTAGCGACCTGATCCTCGCTAGTAGGTACCTCATCTTTTGAGTGCAAGGACTTATATGTGAGGGAGGGAGACGACTCTCAGTCGATATGGGACGAAGCTCCTGAGGGCACTGAGAGGTAAAGGTTACTGGGGAGTCGCCCGCGTGAGTTAACCCGGTCAAGCCAAAATCCTTAATAGAATGTTTTACCCCTTACAGAAACCACGCGTGAGTTAACCCTGGTCAAGCCAAAATTCTTAGTAGAAGGTTTTACTCCTTATATAAACCATGCGGGCTACCCCTTAGTAGCCTTTACCTCTCAGTGCCCACAGGTGTTTCGTCCCACATCGACTGAGAGTCGTCTCCTCCCCTCGCATATAAGTCCTTGCACTCAAAGGAGGAGGTACCCACTAGCGACCTGATCAGGTGCCTAGTGGGTACCTCCTCCTTTAAGTGCAAAGCCTTATAGGCGAGGGGAGAAACGACTCTCAGTCAATGTGAGACGAAACTCTTGGGGGCACTGAGAGGTAAAGGCTATTGAGGGGTCGCCCGCGTGGGTTAATCCAGATCAAGTCGAAATCTTTAGTAGAGGGTTTTACCCCTTACACACCTATTTATTATTGTGAGAATTTACGTCGAACAGTTGGGTGCCATTATATTTTTCCAAGTGGTAGAAAGGGATTCGAAATAGTGTTTCTTACTAAAAAAACATAGAAAAAATGGGCACTTGAACTTTTTTAATCAATGGAGCAATTTAACAAACATGTGGAGGCACCTATATAACACGGAAGCACACCAAGATGTTGGAGGCATATAGAGAAAAAGAGCTGGTAGTCCACCGAAGAGAGTCAGAGATGAGGGAATTAAAGCAGCAAGCTTTTAGTTCACGCTCTCAATGAGTTTTTTTTTTATCTCACACGTACTCACTTCGTGGACGCTAAATTTAACCGTGGTTGGCGTGGTGGCTAGGGTCGCAGAGGGTAGTGGTGGCTTAGAGGGTGGAGGGCTTCGAAAACGATGACTCAAGGGTGGACCAGAGAGGGGTAGAGGGGGAGTTACGGGGCTGTGGATGGACTGGATTGGGGATGTGTGAATTTGTGTGAGTTGTAGGGGTCTAGAGGGGTTAATAGTAGAAACTGGTGGTTGTGGTGAAGGAGATTTTCTAAAGAGAGAGGTAGAGAAAGGAAAGGGGGGAAAGTGAGAGATAGAAATCATACTTGCCAGTCTGGCAACGTTCTGGTGGCGTTCGATTTGCTTCACATCGACAATTGGCTCTTACCGTTTGTTGGGCTGTGGCGCCACTGGCAGGGGACACAAAGAGAAAAAAGTGGGTGTGGTTGTGATTGTGTTGGGCAGCGGTGACAATTTAAGGAATGACTAGATATGTAGGAAGAGATAGGATAGAGTTGAGTGGACATAGTGGTTGAATACGAAGGTCAGAGGTGTAGAAGTCTGGAAAGAGAGAAAGAAAGGCATGAATTAGGGGTAGTAGTTTGGAGAGAGAGAGGGAAGGATGTAATTTTGGAAGAAAAAGAAATTTGATGCTTGAAATTGGGAATTAGAGGTCTGAAATTTGGGAAGCATAAACGGAAGGTGCGTTGGGCTGGAAAATAAAATTTGTTGGTCAATCTGATCCTTAAGATCGATATATGTTAGTTGATCTAAGCGGTAAAAATGTTAAAGATAACATGGACTATTGGATATAATTTATCGTTTACCCAAAATTAATCTGAATCACAAAAAACTCAAGATAAATATTGGGATTTAAATTCAGTTCTATTTTATTATATAAATATTTTTATTAAATAAATACTATTTGAATGCTCAAATAAAAAAATATTAAAATAAAAAATACTTTATCAAAAAGTGCGTGGTGGAGGCGATGACGACGATGATGATGAAGTGTTTTCAGGAGCAGTGATTTTAAGAAAGTATAATTTTTTTTTTTAACTTTTACCTAATAATTTAAATTGTAAAATTACTTTTGACTTAAAACAATATTAAATGGACTCAAAAATTAGACTTGATAATTACAATCATTGATTTCACTATAAATTTCAACATTTATTGATACCCACTATTTATTCAATAATTATGAGTATTGAGTTCAATTATTAAGTTCATATAACATTATTCTTTGATTTATTAAAAAATAATTAAAATATGATATTTTAAATATTACTTTTTTTTTAAATACATATAAAAAATTATAAATCTTATAAATACTTTTAAAAAAATCATCCCCGCTAACAAAAGCTTTTATAAACACATGTGAGAGTGAATGGTACGACAGAGATGGTGGGTGAGTGTCCCCATAGGATGCCATGTGACGTGGGTCGTACAAGTCTTGGGTAGCACAACTTTGATAATGTATTTGTTGGGGGGGGGGGGGGGTTTAAATATGTAAAATACCTACGTATTGATGATATGCCACAAAAATATATAATTAACGCATACAAATTATTAGTGTTTTAGTTTATACATAATGCCTCGTTAAATTTCCTGAATTATCATTTTCTTAAAGGACGCTACTATTTTTCACTTTCATCGAGGACACATTAATAGATTAAAGGGTTTTTTTGTATTTTATACTTAAAAAGATTTAGAGATTTTTATTTCATATTTTACCGTTAATGTATTAAAAATATTAGATGCAATCATCTGTTAACTTCAGTTAACTTTGGTGAAAAAACTAACGGAAAGTTCATACAATGATAATTTTGTAACACTTTTGATATATTGAGTATGTACTATGAAAAATTTATTCTTTGAAAGTGTAAAGTGAAAATCTTAAAATCTTTTAAGATATAAAGTATAATTCACCCAAATTAACCTATCTCCTTTGTGACTTTTTGTTTGGAATTAGGAACTTTTTTTCAATCATTATGCGATCCAAACTTATGGTCAAAATAGAGCAGCGTTGCATCTAATTTGATATAAGTAATTTAATTGAAATTCGTATTATCTATCAAAAGTTTCAACCCTTGTCCTATCGGTTAAATTGAAATTTGATTCGATAAAAAATATAAATAGCATGTTGTCACGTACATTCCCACTCTTATTTTTTTTAATTTAACGATCAGGAATATTTGGATCAATTTATGTATATTTTGAATAATTTCTTTTTTAATTTGATCAAATATTGATATCTGGATTTATTACAAGTTAGTTATTATCATTTTATTATTTATTGGTTTTCACACTTATTTTCTCGGCTCTTTGGGCCTAAGCCCTGAATTACCAAATTTGACTTGACCAAATTAACCCTCCACCAATTAAAGTGACAAATGATCAGCCTTTGCCAGCTAATATTCCTCACAAGATTACACCTATATACATTATACAGCTAATACAAACAGCGAATTTTAAGACTTTCTACATCTAAATCCAAACTCTCTCTCTCTCTCTCTCTCTCTCTTCACACATCAAACTGTTCACTACATTTGATTCTTGAAATGTAGTATGAACTGATCAAGACAAAGCTTCAGATGATGAATCTAGGTCTTATACACATGTTTAGATAGTTACACTGTGGCGTATTTATACAGGTACATCGATGTCGACGAGTTATAGTCCTTCGAGAAGCCCAGCGAGCTCGAGATTTCTGTTGGGTGGTGTTGGTGCAGCATCGAGGCTGAGATCTTCGTCGCTCAAGAAGCAGCCGGAGCCTCTCCGCCGTGCTGTCGCCGACTGCCTGTCATCTTCGACCACATCCCAACATTCAACCTCCTCGGCTCTTGCCTCAGAACCTTCGCGGACTCTCCGGGTTCGAATTCACTGCATCCTCGTGCTCAATTTTGTGTTTTGGTTTTCAGATCTTGTAGCTGTAGAGGTTGTTTTACCTTTTTAAATTTTGGAATCTAGGGTTTTTTTCACAGTGATTTTTGTTTATGATTAATAATGTAACATTGATATATGTTTGCATTTGCATACACGTGGATACATTTTGAAAGAATCAGAGTGAGTCACTCTAGTGGAAACCGGGTAGTTAATTTGTCGGTTTTGGAGTGTATTGTGAAAGTAATTACTAATTTATTGGGCTATTAATGGTTAGTGAGTGTGGTTACACAATGTAGCCTTTTGTGTGGGATACTATGCTGATTTCTTAAATTGAAAATTTAGTCGGCATAGGCGGCTTAATCCATGGTATGTTGGTTGCCGGACTAAGCATTAGTAAGTAATTTGTCCTGCCAAATGAGATGACCACCTTGAATAAAGAAAAATCTAGCAAGATAATGTTGTGAAAAATACCCTGCTTATGAGTAATTTTGTTCTAAATGGCAACCGACAAGGACGCGGACTTCAGTTACAACATACTTTGCGTCTATTACAAACTTTCATTTGAATTTGCATGGAGATGTTACAATTTCGTGAATTCTGGTATGGAAAACTTACTTGCCATCTAGTTCTTACTGGGAAAGCACACACATACGTCCAATAAAAAAAGAAAAAGCACTTTTTAATGGATAAAGAAAACACTGGAAAAATGCTTCTTATTTAAGTGACTGTGGCACTGCCTGATATGAATTCCCATAATCAGTTCATTAGAAGAATTGCTAGTGTCATGCTTATNAGAAGCCCAAGTTTCAGTTCATTTTCTCCCAGATCGGATGCTTCTTGTCCACTGCGTAATACGCATCATTGTTTGGCAGGGTCCGAGCGAAACTACTGGATATTACCAATCGCAAGTCACATTTTTTAGAGTCTCTTGCATAGTAATTTGTAATTTTTTTAATTCCTCTATAATTTGCTATACAAATTTTAGAAAATGCAACTTCAATTCATGTCTCTGTAGATAGATAATTACTTACTGTAATTCCTAGCCATGAATACAATACTCATGCTTATATTGTTTTTCTCTTTGGTTTCAGGCAATGCAGAACGAGCAATTTCTTTTGGACGACGCTATTAAGAGGAAGGGGTTCTTTTGCCAAGCACATATGAATATTTTGTTATAAGGAGAATGAAAAAATTTGCTAAGTCAATTTGCATACGGGCTGCATTACTGCTGGGATTGTTCTTATTGTTCATATGTTATCATAGACTAATGTTAGATGGACTTAAAAATTAGACTTAAAAATTAGATTCGATAATCTTAACAATTGAATAGGTAATGAGTCTCAATAAATACTGAGATCCACAATGAAATCAATGGTTGTAATTTTCAAATCTACTTTTTAAGTCCATGTAACATTGTCCTTTATCACGGGGATAGAGCAATACTGAAATTCATGAGATTAATGCTCCGTTTGGTATGATGAAAAAATATAAAGATGAAAAGTTGGAAAGATGTAAAGTTGGAGGAGTAAATAAAACATCATGTTTGGTAAGGAAGGAAAATAGGAAGGATGGAAAAGTGGATGGATTAACTTTCTTTCCAACTCACCAAAATCAGAAGGAAAGTGGATGAAAGTTAATTATTTGTGTTGAGATGTATCTTATTTGTCTATATATTATGTATACATTAATTTAATATAAAAATACAATGATAATATATATATTTAAAAAAATTAAAAATTAAAATTAAAAAAAATATTTTTTTCATCTTAAGTAAGTGTGAAAATTTTCGACTCAACACGATGACACGACTCGAACTCGACTACGAATTTTATGACACGAACTTGATTATAACTCGACAAAAACTTGAAAATGACCTGACATGAGAACAAGAAATATAAAGGCTCATAATTTTATGACTCAACACGAATCTGACACGACACGACTCGATTGTTACCTCTAATATTAGACAAAAAAAATTGAAAAAAAAATGATTATTTTTATTTTCCATTCATCCAATCAAACACAAAGGAATGATAGTATATTATTTCTACTTTTCATCTTTAAAGGATAAAAAATGTATTTCTCTTACTTTTCATTCTTCCTACTAAACAGAACATAAAAAAAGTATTCAGGATGGATGGTCAGTAGTGCATTCTTGGTCATCTATTGAGAGTTGTGGATTGATTTTTAACATTGTGGTATTACCTTGCAAAATTTTCTTTGGTTAGTAGTATTATGGATGATTTTCTAACATAGAAGTAGAATCGTAGGCAGTTTTGGATTTTGAATCCAACCCCAAGGTCCTGGTAGACATGATTTGTTTTATAAGAAATTAAGTGTAACTCTTACTTGAAGGCACGGTATAATATGAATGATTTTGAGAGAGATATTAGTGACCATTAAATGAATTTATTTGAGATTATTTGATGAACTTATTGCAGTCTGACATATAGAAATTGTACAAGAAAAACTGAATTGGGTTTTTATTGTTATAATACCGGAGACTATCGACATTTTGGATAAGCTATTAAGCTTTTGAGACTTCTACTGGGAACGGACTTCAAGAATTCACAAATTTGTTGGGAATTCTGTAGAATATATAGCAAAGAAAGGAGTGGATGAGCATCTACAAGTAAATTTCATCTTTTTCAAGCTTACGACTTAAGGGTTCGAATGCTTATCTCATAGGGTCGGCTACAAATTGCAAACTTGTGGAAGAGATCATTGTATAGATTCTGGTCTTCTTTTGCTATATTTTTTCATAGATCTTCAGCTACAGATTGTAAACAAAGCTTGTCTTCGTAGATCTTCATCTAAGTATTATACAAAATACATTCTTTGTCCATTTTTTATTTTTAATTTTTTTTCCTTTTTACCGGTGTTTATCGTATATGTCGATATGCTCACAGTCCAGCCACCGGAATTTGACAACCAAGCCGACGCTTAGCTTAGGCCGAAAGAAGTGTCGATTTTCTACAACGTCGATTTAGACGGCGGTTGATTGAAATGCCGGATACACACCAAAAAATGACTTTTACCTGCAATTTTTATGTTTTTACCAGCATTTGTCGAACATTGAAAATTCTTCTATTTGTGGTAGTGGGGTAACACTGGTGTACATTATTTCACTTTTTCGATATCATATTAAAAAAAAATTAAAAAAATGATAAATTTTATCTAAAAAAGAGATAAACTTCACCCAAAAATGGTAAGTTAAATGCAAAGGTAAGTACACTCCAAAAGTTAATAGTATAAATATAAAATAAAGTCTTCACCGGTACAAGATTAATTTTTTAGTATTGGAATGACTTAAAAAATTTAAAAAGTTCTTCTTAAATAAATATTTCTCATAAGTGTTTTATAAAAAAAAATTAGTTATTGCCTGTATTTAAAGGCATTATGTAAAAAATTTGGACCCATAATTTTTTTTTAAAATTGTGACAAAATTTTCCTCTAAAACAAAACCACAAAAAATACCAACATATGTACACAATTATTGAAAATTTTGATGAGATAATAAAAGACAGGGCTTTGTAGGGAACTGTTACAAAATGGAAACTAAGGCTTCAATGTAGAATTGGATTGGCCAAGTCGTGTCATTGGTTGAGTTATATTTGACTTATAAAATTCAGATCTAATACACTTTCATATTTTTATTCAAAATTAAAAATCTATTATAACTTAAACTTGACCAAGTCATTCGAGACGTCCCAAAGTCATTCTCGAGTAATTGACACTGCATGTAATATTAAAAAACAAAATCGCCAAGAAAATAGGAGAATTTCATCAAAAAAAAAGTTAAAACAATCATAATTAGTTTTAACACCGGCCATCACTCCACTAAAGTTATTCGTCTATAGTTTTAGGACTATGCATCATAAACAACCAAATGCATTTGAATTTCTTCCATGATGAAGCACATCCAAATCTATCTAGAGCTATCCATGCGTTAGAACAAAAACGACGTATTCATGGATAAATTTAAAATTCTAGTTAGGACAAATTAGAGTCTTACCCCTTGTTTAGACAAAATATAATTACTAAAAATAACCCAAAATAAATTGGGAACCCCAATTTGTAGGATGAGGATTACTTTCCAAATCTTCTATCCATTGCATAATGAGTAACGTTATTGAGACCTAAAAAATTGATCTTATTTATTGACATAATAACTTATCAAGTGATAAAATCTCAAAGAAGAAGTCCAAGAATTGTAATCACAACAATATTATTAGATCACCTCATTGTCATATAATTAGATTAGCAAATTAGGTCTATTTTTTAGGTCCCCATAGAATTACTCTTGCACAATAGACATCATCTTCATTTATTTGAATTCTAAGAATCTAGCCCATTAGGAAGGAATACCGTCGCATGTTAAAGCAGCTAGATCTGGAGAGTCTACAAAATGCATAGAAGCCAATAAACTTTACAATCTGGTGCCAAATTACTCTTCCCAAAATTTTTGCCACTACAATCATTGTAGACATCCTGTCTAAAACAGATACAAAAAGTCTTGCAAACCAAGCTCCTCTCTTAGCTCCCCAAAAATCCGAGATTATTCATGCATATGATCCAATCAAATTCTTGCATTCCACCGAATCGTTACACACATTTAATTACCTGTAATATATTTGATTTGTTATTGATATAAACATGAATAGAGAATTTTCCCAGTAAAATAAATCTAAGAATGTCAAGTCAATCAATATTAGACAACATTACAATTAAAGGGTATGCTACAAGTTTAAATAAGCATGAATACAAAATCTACACAATAAAATTAATCTAAAAATATCAAGTGAATTAAAATTAGAAATACCCATTGACGATGATAGCCTTGTGGTCATTTGACACCATAAAATCGATAACAATACCAGTACACCACCAACATTACATTCACCAATACCAACTTCAAACTCATGGTGAAGCTTGTATCTTCCTTCACAAAGCAAACACCACCCATACAAACATACACTTTGTAAGGGGTAGAACCCTCTACTAAGGATTTCGGCTTGACCTGGGTTAACCCACGCGGGCGACCCCCTAGTAACCTTTACTTTTCAGTGCCCCCAAGAGCTTCATCCCACATCGACTGAGAATCGTCTCCCTCCTTCACATATAAGCCCTTGCACTCAAAAGAGAAGATACTCACTAGGCACCTGATCAGGTCGCTAGTGGGTACGTCCTCC